CTGTAATCGGCCTAGCGGACAGAGTTATGGAAAGTAAAATTTTCAATTTATTACTTTGTACCTAATGGTTTAGCGTAGAAACATTCAGATGTGCTATTAAGCACAGTCAATCATAAAATAAACAAATGAATCATTCCGCACTGTGTTTCACTATTCCGTACAAATAATTTCATGAATGAAATTGGGTTTTAAATTGCCATCTCAGTTTTGTTTAACACGCTATCAGTATCGTCAAGGGCCGTATTCACGGGCGAACATTTATCTGTCTGTCTATGGGCTTACAAAATAATTAATTGAGCGAACATCAATCGATTCAAATCAGTAACAGGATTGACTGTGTTTGCTTAATTTAAAGTATGACGTGTTAAATTTTAGAATTATAGATTTAAGAAAAAAAATATATGAGGTTTTAATAAAAGCAATAGATGCGAAAACAATATTTTTTGAAAACTTTGTCTACCTGTGTGATTGACCAGTGACCTCAAACGTTTTCTTTTTTTACTTAATAGTTAACTGGTAGACAATGTCATACGGCATTTAGAACGCCATTTGTACAAATTTCATTGTGCGACAAAGAATAAATAATTATTTCATATAATTTTCGATTTTATGACATAAAAAAATTACAGTCGTCGCAAAATTAACAACCCCTTTATTGATATCTTTACACAGCGACAGTTGTTTAGGAAAAAAGGAATAGCATCATAATTCGTTTTTTTTTTTTTTTTTTTTTTTTTTACAACACAGGGGGCAAACGAGCATGCGGCTCACCTGATGGTAAGTGACTACCGCCGCCGACTTCGTCTGTTTTATTTGAATCTTTTTTTATGCGATACCTTTGTCAATGCTAAACAAATTATATTCTTTTTGCAATAGATAGGGTTTACATAGTGATAATATTTTTTTTCGAAATACTCCCAGTTTTTATTACAAGTTTGTAGATACATCATCTCGTGTTCAAAATTCAAATATTTTTAGTCTTATATGCCCACGAATCATCTTGTTCGTTAATATGCATTTGTATGTGTTTAAGATAGAAGACACTAATTCATTTCACCTTGTTCTTTTTAAACCTTAAGCAATATTTGTAGAACATAACAAACCGCATCCAATTTGGTGCAGTAATTTTTGCATGATGCTGATACAAACGTACATACAGACCAGATAGTATTTATAAAAAGGATTGTTTTGGCATTCATTGGTCTTATTAAGATCCCTCATATTAAATTTTCTTAAATATCTTTTTTATACAAAAATTATCTAGTTACAATTTTATTATATTACTGAGATTATGGTCTATATTGCCGTGTGTTCCTGGTATAGAATAGGCCATCCCTTCCATTCCTGTGGGTGTCCTAAGTGGCTACTAAGGGAGGGCGAGGGATGGGCAGCAGGACCCTTCTTAAAACATCTCCAAAGCCTAACTGCGGTTGCCAACTCGCCTACCAAGCGTGGTAAGTACTGACAAAATCCCCCTAAGGGGGACGCTTATGTTCAGCAGTGGATAGTTCAGGGCTGATATGATAATGATATGTGTACTTAATGTACGAATTATTGTAAGTAGAAATGGTTTTATTGGCCTTAATTATAATTGTAGCTTTAATTAATATTTATTTTAAATGTGTAAAGTGAGTTCCATTGTTTTCAGTCTAGACCTATAAAAATAGAGCCCTCTGAAAAATAAACACTCTAGAGGTAAAAAAATCCCTAATTTAATTTTAATATATTTGAAAATTTGTTCGTTAAAATTTGTGATAAACCGAATTTACTTTTACGAAACTTATCATAAAACAACTAGTATGTAAATATTATGTAAATTACTGTATGTGTACAGAATCTCATATCGATATACATATGTATGTGTATTAGTACATTTTACATGTTGTACCTAGTTAGAAGTTTTAGCAAGTTTCATAACTTTGAGGGTATAAAGTTAGGGTTAGGAGTTCCTACTGTAATTGTAGCTCATGTTACTTTATTGCTTTGGTTAAGCTTAGCTCTCTGAACCGCAGTATTGTCTTTAGTCAATAACTAATGATGTTGCATGAAAATAGATTGTATACTAACTACTAATACTATACTTTACTGAACTTGGTGTTTTTTTGCAAAAGTTCATTTATCCTGGCATTTGATTAGAATTATTTTGTTTAATTCCACTATCATTAGTATATGTATGATTGCTAACACTCGTAGACTGGCCATCTCTATTATTACCAGAAGTTCCATAACTCACCATATTAGCCATCAATCTCTGATTGTTATTTTGTCCACGGATGTTTTGCGATACGTGTTTTACCTCTAAACGAGGTATCTTCAAATAGTTAGATCGCTGCTCGGAGCCTAGGGTTAACTGTTTGCAGTTGTTTGGGTGTCCAATATTTTTTTTGTCGAATAATAATGAATTAGTTGCACCGACAAGAAAAAACAGAAAACTCTTAAATAAAGAGAGAGAATAATGATTTTAATTAAATAACCAATAAATACTACAATTGTAAATGTGTAATTATATCTGACTGTTTTGTTTAATCATGCTTTAAACGCCGTAAGGTTTTGTATAAAAATAGTATTATATATAGACCATATAGATTAAAATAGATATACCATTTTTTATCTCAATTTACAGGAAAACTTCAGTAATATAGTTTGTTTTTGGAAAACCTCATTATTATAATTTATTATTTCATGTTTGGATTTTGCGCCTATTATGGTTAAAGGAAATAATACACTGCCAGTAAATGTAATATGAATGTACCTATTTGTACAATAATTTGCAATTACAGTAAAATTAAACTGTTGTATTTTAACAGCATTAACCACAATTTTTTTATACATAAAATTATCTGTAAATACAGTGTAAATAAGCTTAAAAATCTATTCGTAATAATATTAGACTGCGGGGCACTAGATTTTTTCTGTAAGAGAAGAATGGAAGAATTGTTGGCCAGGCTATTTAGTATAGGGTTTTATTTCGAGCTTTTCTTTTCTACCACTGGTTTATTGCGTCTTACTCATCTAGTTACCTCTTAAATATTCTAGTAATTAAGTCTTTATAATTACTCGTAATTTTTATCTCTAAAAATGCAAGTAAAACATTCCTCTATAAAATTGAAACTTGCAGTTTTGAATACACAATCGGGACTTAACACGATGAAAAAACTTACAGGTAAATAGTACTTCCACAAAATATTTTATTGCGGTAAGCCCCGATAGTATATTTAAAATATGTGTCAACAACGCGTTTTATCATCATCATATCAGCCTTGTTGAACATAATCATCCCCCTTAGAGGGTTTTGCCAGTATTTGCCACGCTTGGCAGACGGATTGGCAACCACAAATAGACTTTGGAGACGTTTTAAGACGGACGATTCTGCCCATCCCTTGCCCTCTCTTAGTCGCTTCTACGACACCCACGGGAAAGGAAGGCCTATTCTATGCCGGGCACCACACGGCCGCAACGCGTTTGTTTACAATTAACTATTTGGAAATTTGCCTACATTAATATGTGACAAAAATATCTTATCTAGAATATAATGCATCTCTGTATCCATGTATAAAATTCTATTCAAATCCATTCATACGTTTAAATTAGATTGAATAACGAACATCAAAACGCCTATTTATATTTACAAACTCTCACATGTATATTTAAAGACCAAGAGATTTTTCATAGGACACGTCCAATATTTCGGACATTATTGGATTCATGAACAAAATGGTTTTCAATTTTGACATGCCCACAATAGGCCAACATGGCTCGCCGAGATAACACCTCAACAATAGACCCGGCCATTATGTACAAATAACTTTCATAGTTGCACATAGGTACACAAATGGGACTAACCCGATGGTGCATTGATGGTGTGAAATGGTTTGTAAGTTTTATCGGTGCGTTTGGACCTTTGTACTGTGTACTACTAGTTGTATACCGCGAATTATTTCATGTGAATTAACACTAAAATGATTAAATATAACGTTTAAAAGTGCTCAGTTGAGTAACAAATAAGAATTTGACAAATTTTTGACAGTATAAAAAAAATTATTTACTACATTAATTTTTACTACCTCAAAAATTTTTAAAATGACTTCATTATTTTGTATAAAATAGACGATATCTTTGCCAATTCTGAATTTATATTTTGGCTATTTTTATTGGAATAAAAGTATTCAAATAGTATATATTTGAGAAACCAAATAACAATATGATACAAAAGGCGGGCTTAATGCTAATAGCATTCTCTACTCTGATCATACTCTGGTCAACATTCCACAAAATATTTGTTTTTGTGTGTATGTTATATGATACCATCGTTAATTCCGAAGTGGTTTTATTGTCTTTTTGTAATCGATTGGATTTAGTCGCACGCTGATCCATACTAATTTATTTATTTTATTGATTCTTTATTGAATACATTATAAAAAAATGTACAGTACAAAAAGCAAATTGACTCTCTATTTAATATAATTTCCGATTTAGAGAATTTTTAACATAATGAAATAGTTTTTATACTTTTTTACATTTAATTACTTTGTCTTATTTGATAAGTGTTTGGTTTAATTAAAAATTAATTACCAGTATCTATAATCATCGATATTAAACATTAATTATATTTAAATACACACATATAGTGGATACTTATACTGTTCAACAGTGGATAATGAATATGAAATGAAAAAAACAAAACTATATTTATCATAAACTAAAATCATCAATATTTAATTTGTTATACAGAAGAGCACTTTATTATTCAAACGATACTGCTGTAATAAGGTATATTTTAATGAATCTTTACTAATATTATAAATGTAAAAAAAAGGAGGTTTGTTTATTGTTTTTATTAACTCTTAGCACCTGAACGGCTAAACTAGTTACTGTGAAATTTGGTACACACGTACTATATGCGATGAAGAAGGATATAGGCTACTTTTTATCTCGGTCAATTAACGTGTCCACATAATGCCGACGAAGTCATTGGTAAAAGGTAGTAGGTAAATAAAAAAAACATAAACGTAATTATTTATTGTTCAAAAGTCGCCAAGTTTAATTGTCATATTATCAAAATGTTGTCACGAGAGTCATTATATCAAGAAATTCGTATTTACGAATTTGATAATTTTCGAGTAAGAATTGTTGATATTGTCAGAAACATTGACACATCAAAATTAAGAATTAACAATATAATCTTCAAGGTGCAAACATATCTACATTGATTTCAATAACACACAATTTCATTTATTGCACGTCATTATATTGTGTACTATCACATATAAAACAATTAGGATTACACAGTAATTATCATGGATTACTTGTGAGTTTTTGAGCGGTGTTCACTGCAATTATGTATTTTGGTTATATTGTTACATACAGCTTAATTATGTGCCTTACTACATTCCAAATTGCCGTTCAGAATCTCACTGTAATTCTTAATAATAAATAATCCTAAGCAAGTAATAATTTTGACAACAATAAATAGGTATTGTTAGCACATTACGAAGTAATGTGAAAATTATTTATTCATTAACGGAGTATATGGACAAATTTTTGTTTAGCATTTTAAATTGTTGAGTATCAATAACTTTCAAGGTACCGCATTAACTCAATAAATCTAGCAATGTTTTAATACCGTTTGATGTATTACATTGTGACCCAATTACTGTATCGTGACTCCGCATAAAATATATGGTGTATAGAGTATTATTATCTTGTCAATTGTTAGACATAATTGAGCAAAAAATTATAGATGGTAACAATTACATCAAACTATTTCATTATTGACGTTGCTTATTTATATTTTTGTTTGTTGTGCGATAAAATTAACGCGAAACACGTCGAGTTGTAACTGAATAATTGATTTTGCGATTATAAGTACAAAGGAGATCAATAGAAGCTTAAGTCTCCTTCATTGATGACTTTGAAAACATAATCCTATGATAAAATTATACTATTATATACAAAGCATTGATATAAAAAATATCTAAGATTCACAATCACATTTGAAAGTTACTCTTAGAAGTGACTAGTCGTAGAACAAGACAAAAGTCGCCAGGAGAGTCATACTGTAATACAAAACTCTGCGCCTAGGTGTTATAATTTTAGAAAAGTTTTAAAGAAATTACAGCATGTTTAAGTACTTATAAATGACTTGTAAAAACGAGCGCATACTTGGATTAAATGCGCTCTATTTCTATTGTTGTTTTTCAATAACTAATTGTGAATCTTGGTATTTTTTGTTAACCAATGGATATAAAGGATGTTTATTAGCTATCACTGAACTCAATGCCAATCAAGAGATGGTAGAAGTATAGGTTTTTCTACTGCTACAGTGTGAACCACTGGCACTGGTAGTGTCTTCACGATAGGAACAGTTTTTATGATGGGTACTTCCTTCACTACTGGAACCTCTCTTATGATAGGCAGTTCTTTTATCACAGGATATGTTCGGATGTGATGATGATGAACAGTATGCACCTCTTGAGGTACGTGGATTCTTATACTGTAAAAGAAAAAAAATGTATAGAGCATAATATAGTTGCAAAACATTTTAAGCAAAGAATTGTCTCACAATAAAAAAAAAAACCGTAGTAATTTTAGACGACGTGAACTAAAGTATTTAGAGATAAAAGGTCGTTTCTTGAACCCGTCATTCTTACTAATGTTATAAATATGAAAGTAAGTTTTTTTTTATACCACTGAGGTGGCAAACAAGCATACGGCCCACCTGATGGTAAGCGGTTACCGTAGCCGAGTAAAGTAAGTAAGTTTAACTAATTGTACCATAACTGTACATGCACGTCCTATGTGGTATGGAAAAGGACATGGGCAATCAATATACTACGGTTACACGGACAATGTCGTGCTTAACGACTAGTCTGTAATCTATTCATGAAAATTTACGTATTTATATGCAAATTTATACGCTACTACTTCATTTTCAAATCACTACTTTTACAAATACATAGTAGAAATTCTAGAATATCATCTGGAATTGAAAAGGTACAAACCAGACTAAAAAAGTTCATGTTTTATACATGCCATGTTATATTGTCGTGTGGTCCCGGCAAAGAATAGCCACCCCTTTCTTTCCGGTATCGTAAGTGCGACTAAGGGAGAGCGAGGGACGACCAGTAACGTCCCTCTTAAAACATCTGCAAAGTCTAAGTGCGGTTGCCAGTTCGCCTGCCAAGCGTGCCATTTACTGGCAAAACCCTCCAAGGGGAAGGCTTATGTTCAGCAGTGGACAGTTAAAGGCTAATATGATGACGACGATGTTTTATCAAGAAAATAACAGTTAATTTGTCAGGATATGATTCAAATACATATAAATGATTGAGTTGAGCTTGTCATCAATCTATTTAGAATAATTTAAACGACATACATTATGTACCATATATTAGATTTATAAGCTTAATTAGTGTTAGACAGTATATTTTCTTCGTCCCTGCCTACTCTAAAGGGAAACAGGCGTGATTTATATGTATGTATGTATTGAATAACTTATAATAAATGTATTTTAGAATTTTATCCCATATTATTATTTTAACACATTTGTATATTAGTATATTATTATTGGAAATATGCAATTATTAATAGGATACAAGTAATAAAATAGTTGCTTTTATTGTTTTAATTTGTATCTTTTATTATAATTGCCTGTATTGCTTGTTTCGCTGAAATAAATGATACAGGTATTTATAGGTATTTAGAGATAACTATGATCAAATGATAAAAAAGAGTTTTCAAATTTTTTTTTTGGCTCGTTTTGTGAAATTAATCAAATGAATCTACAATCGCGTTGTGCACATATTTACTACTTTACTAGATTGTGCACATATTTACTAGATGCTTTTTTAATTATAAAGCACTATTATACCTACTTGTACAACAATTAGTCCATTACCTTAAGGTTGTCTTGAAAAGATTGCTCTCAGCAATAAGACCGCTTTACTGTACTTATACAATTGTATCGTTATGTTTGTAAATTGTCTTGTTTATTTCCTATATTGTATAATGCAAATAAAGTATACTCATTCATTCATTCATACTTTTGTAAAGATTGAAAATTCTTTGTTCTTATTTGTACGAATATAAGCTTTATTAGGCTTTAGTGTAAAATCATATATAAACAAAAAACCGGGTTACAAAAATTTGAATAAGCAATTTGATATATCTAAGAAATTTGTTTTCTATCTAACACAATATTTTTTTCCCACTCATAACAATCCTGCCATAGACGAGTCTAAAGGCAAATTTATGTATAATGCATTATTCATAATATACTTCTTAATCTGTTATAAGAAATATCATTATATGTTAATACGTGGATTATTTCTGTTTGTGTAATTTTGTGGAAACAATTTCTGTGTAAGTATTTATACATAAAATTATAGGTTATTCTTATACATATATCTATGCCATCAATTTGATCGATGTATTCGCTTTGATGGCTGTATTATAAGAAATGCATATGCCCATTACCTATGAAATGACGCTGCCATTCGTGTCAGAAAAGTCGTTGGCTCATAATAAATGTATAAAGTTAAATTTTCTCATACCGACTTCTATTTTTTAACGAATTATAATAAAACAAACTTGAATGCTATCTTTATTTTTTCTGTTAAAATGTTTCACTTAATACCAAGTACCTAATGTTGTAATATTTTTTGTTTGAGTAAAAACATTTGATTACATAAAATTATTGCACAATAATTGCATTACACATGACATTATGTATTTGAACATATTTATTAAATAGATAAGTACACAGAGCTACCGTCTTATTTTGAATACGGTCACCACCATATAACACTTTTCTATACCATGACGCTAGATGGCGTCACTGGTCACAAAACATATTTATATAAAATACCTTTTTGTTGGTAGCAATAGGTATCATTTAATCTTGTCATAATCACTTATTAAAACTAAACTCACGTTATTGTATGTATGAAACGGATCTAAACAATTAATTTAATAGGATTTTTTTTTCAAAAAAGTCTCTTTCATCTCAAAAAAAGTTCTTCAAGTACAATAGTTTCAATATGGAAGTAAATATTGTTGTATTAATATATATATATATATATATATATATATATATATATATATATATATATATATATATATATATATATATATATATATATATAATTAACTTTACACATATTCGTAAAATACATAAATTTGGGAAATGGAGTAAAATATTTGATCACCGTAATTTTTACTCATATAAAACTTACCGTGTATGGTGAGGGTCTGGATCTGCTACCGGAGACGCCATATGACCCGCGGCCAGTACGGTCAGAGTTAACTGTAAAAAAAAAAACAAAATGTTAAATAATGATACAATATAGTTATAATTACGGAATCGAAAAAAATCAATAAATGAAAAAGAATTTTTTGTTAACAAACTTCCGTAAAATTAGTTTAATATGAAAGTAAAGATTATTTTATTAAATGAAGACTCTTTAGAATTGGCAAAGATGTTACATGATATAAACAAAAAAAAAAAAAAAAAAAATTAAAAACGACCCGATAAATTGGTTCGTAAATTCAAAGTACCCGATGTAGAGTTGTTTTCATAACGAATTATAGTCGGACGGATGGGTAAAATAAAATTGAAATGGAAAATATAATTATTTTATTCTAATAAATTAATTATATATTTATAAAGGTCGTTTTATAATGTCAATGGGCACTATATTTAACCTAAATTGTCCCTTTATACGATCTACTTTTATTTATAGACAGCGGTAAAATGAAATGTCAGGTAAGAATTTAAGAATTAACTCGCATTGACAGGTGACACTTTATCATCCAAATTGTGTGACGACTACTAAGTAGTTAATGACAGACTAGTGATTAGCCCCGGCTTCTCACGGTTACAATTTATTATTTAAGAAAAAAAAAATGCGCTTAGCTAAAAAACATTATGTTTATTTTCTTATAGCTTAGTTTCGTCTGTAAAAATATCTTAATGACAGTGAAATTAGCATAGTATCAAAATCCTTTCGTTAATATAAATCGTTATTCAGCCTTAGTTATGGTTAAATTATAATGACAAAATTTATGTCTTATTACATACTAGCGACCCGCTCCGCCTTCGCACAAGTGTAATGTAGAAACAATGTGATGTCAGTGTAGAGTGATTAATAATATTACTATTGTATCCGTCTAAATAGCTTTCCATATTTCACATAATTTGTATAAATTTTATAAAATATTAAAATAATTATAGAAAGCTGTTTAATATAGTATGCTATCTACTGACTTTTTTGGAGTATATTATTTTATTATATTTCAGCGTATTCGATAAAAGCTCTCTGTCGACTTGATTTTTTCCGTCATCAACAATTATCGTCATATTTCCACAAATTAATAAAAACAATATTAAACTATATGTATAAACCTTCCTCTTGAATCACTCTATCTATTGATGAAAATCGTATTTAAATCCGTTGAGTAGTTTAAAAGATCTAAGCGTACAGACGACGGGAAACGACTTTGCTTTGTACTAGAGATATAGCGTGGAATTGCTCATTTTAATATTTTTCTAAAGAACGATTTTTGTTTTATTTGTGACCATTTTCAACCGATTTTAGGGGGAGGAGGAGAAAGTTCTCAAGAAGTTCTCAGTTCGGTTGTATTTTTTACATGTTTGTTACCTCATAACTAAATGTAAACGTTTTGGAAAATTCCTATTTTATATGATAGGATATACTTTCAGATCGGTTTCATCTATGAAAAAGTTTATTAAAAAAAAGTTTAGTAGTTTAGTTTTTAAATAAAAATAATTTGTTTTGCTACAATGGAAGTTGCTTTTTGTTTGTGGACCACTATTTTATAACGGATGTTAAGAATAACAATATTATATATTCAAGTAAAATTAATTAAAATTTGTTCAACGAGAACAACCCTACATTATTTAACACGTTTTTCGGGCTTCTCTATGTATTTGTCTAAATCTTTGGCGCAACGTGTAGACTAAATGACTTGACGGTTTTTTTTAACGTTATACCTTTAAATTCGTTTTATTATGGATATCCTGTTAGGCTACACGACGTAATCCTTACAAATATTATAAACACGAGAATGCATTTGTTTGTTTGTTACCTCTTGGCGACTCAACGGCTCAATCAATTGTCATGAAATTTGACTTACTATTTAAGATAAAGAAGGAGATATGCCATTTTTATCTAGAAAATCAAAAAGTATATCTAGAATATCAAAAATCCCTTCTATAGTCGATTTTAGGATTCCGTTCAAAGGTACAAAGTGACACTTATGATGTGACTTTATCTGTCCATTTGTCCGTTCGTCCTTTCTGTCTGTCACAGCGCTATGTCTCAGCAACTACCAGTACCAATGCTATGATAATATCTATTATGTAGCTATTTCTTATTTTATCTCATATTTATATATTTATGCACGGAACCAACGACGTGTGAGTTCAACTCGCACATGACCGGTTTTATTTTTTTAACAATAAAGATTTGTTGATTTTTTTGCAGTTTCTGAATTCTAAATTCCGTAGTACAACTAACTGGTGACTTTTATTTAAGGGTTGCTACATTAACACTTTTTTTTTAATACAAAATATAATAACACTTTTTAATCACATTTTTCACTTCTTTTTTTATAGAAATGCAACACAGTATTTTCCTTAAGAGTGTATATTAATTATTTAAGGACTACTCACAGCGACGGTGTAGTACATGTTTGATGGCGTTTGGCGTGTCACTGTTGCTGCGCACGCGCACCGTGTTAATATGTACTGTTGTTGTGCAAGCCCTGCCACCGTTACGGTTCCTGATCGTCTTGATACACGTAATGCGTAATTTTACACATTAAGTACTCAAAGGATGAATGATGTATGTGTGTGTATTAATGGGTGACTGAATCCTTACTAATGTAATGTTATAAATGTGAAAGCGATTCCGGTTTTTTTTTAATTAATTGTCTATTAATTAAAAAAAAAAGCGGATTATATAAATACATTTTATACTTAGTATCCAGACCAATATAAATAGTCATATAAATGAATAAAAATATTTGTATTGTACAGAATTCGATTCCGCGACGGCTGGCAAGTAAAGCGGTGTGGTAAACGCTACACCAACAAGGTTGTTAGATGACTAATGAAGCTATTTTTTTTCCAAAATATGGGTCAAAAAACGACAATAATTTTGAGCCTTCCATGCAAACATGGCGAATGCTGTCAAGTCAATATGGGAAGCTTTAGATTTTTAGCATTTTTAACCGACTTCCAAAAAAAGGAGTTTCATAATTTGGTTATACGTGTATTTTTTATGCTTGTTTATCTCATGATTCTGTCTTTGTAAACTGTTTTGGAAATATCTTTTTATCAAAATCGGTTTACTAGTTTAGCGTTTAAATCAAAATAAATTGATGCCATTGTTTTGCCACAAATGAAATTGATTTTTTTTTTGTGGAACCAATAAAATAAAATTATTTCAAGGAAAAAAATAAAGAAATAACGAAAGTAGTTACTCTACTAGCCTATATAAACATCGATTATTTGTAACAAAAGTAGAATTTAAATTAACTTACTGAGGTGTTAAATGTTTATGTAAGTTAAGTATAATTTACATTCTATGGTAATCGAGAGTTGCAATAATAAAAAAAACAATGCCTATACTTAAATCTAAATTCGGTAAGCACGTATAGTTGTTACTAAATCCTAATGTTCCATGTCTCTGATTTTGTGTTAGATAATTTCATTCAATATTCCTATATCAGAGATTTTTATAAATATAATATAGTATTCCGTAATTGAAAATCCGTATAATTGATTACAAAGTCAAATCAAACAATAGTTAAATTTTAATATTTTTTGGTGGTCTCGGCATGGAATAGGCTACCTCTTCCTTTCCCTTGGGTGTCATAAGAGGCGACTAAGGGTGGGTGAGGGATGGGCAGCAACATCCCTCTTACATCTCCAAAGCCTAACTGCGATTGCCAATCAAGCGTGGCAACTACTGCCAAAACCCTCTAGGCTTATGTTCAGCTGTGGACAGTTAAAAGCTGATATGATGATAATAATGACTTTTTATTATGTGAAGGGTTTTACATATGTCATTTAAACAATACAATATAAAAAAAAATTACAAGCTATAACAATAATGGGTTACATATTACCTTTTTACTCAATTAATACGTAATATCATTTATTTGTTTATTATAAGTCCTGATAATCGAATATTCGGATAATCGAGATTATACTGTATGATATTGCATATTATGCTAAGTTTTTTTTCGGACTGTTCTATTGCTGTTGGCCGCGGATGGCTTTTATCTACATTACACTCCAAACCCGCGAAAGGCCTTTTGGAACGGTCTTTCGGTGGTTTTTGCCTATCGGATACAATATTTTATCTTTTATTCTGAGGTAAGTAAGGATAACATCAGGACCGCTTTGATATCTATATATTTGGTGGTCTGGTGGGTTAGCTTGTTTGCCATTCTATGGTGGATAAAGAAAAATTGGTTTCTCTGGACATTGATGGCGGAAAAAATTATCATCACCCATTTCGACATCGTCCATACTAGACGGATATCTACGGATATAGACTTGATAGGGTGTTTATTTTCAATATTATATATTAGACAACCGATATTTAATATGTTTTTTCATTGACTTACATAGATATTGTAACTAAAATATATAGATATTGATTATTACCCACTCCTAGTGTAAAGACACTGAATCGTTTGAATCTCGGATTAGGCCTTTGTATCGTGATCTTGATTCCTGTATAGTACTATGAATTATTTGATTTATGTATAACTAGATTATGTACTACAAGTCTTATATGTATGTATATCTATGACTGTAAACAGGCGTAAGTTTCTTGATTTGTAGAAGGTAAAAATTGAAATCACAACCATTATTTTAAGGGAGTGTTCTACTAATGACAATAACAATTTCAGGTTAATATCAAATGTAGAGCTCGTTATACTTATTTGAAAGCTGTACGTGCCTTATTAGTATGGTAGCTCAAAATATTTTGTTGTTATTATATTATCTAGCAGTATACAGTACGCGTAATGGTTCAATGAATTTCAGTCTTGTATATATGAGTAAATAATAGCTAAAGGATCCATATAAAAGTTAATAATTTTAAGCTTTTGTGACACAATGTCTAAAAAAGGAATTCCTCACTTAATGTAACTTTTTTCAACCGACTTCAACAAGGAGGTTCTTAATTCGGTTGTATGTTTTTTTTAATGTTTGTTACCCCATAACTCCGTTAGTGGTAGACCGATTTGGAAAATTCTTTTTTATCTGAAACCACTTTCAGATGGGTTTTATAGAAATTTTATAGGTATTACGTAAATTAAAATAACTGGTTTTGCCACACTGAAGTCGATTTTTTGTGTGAAACACATTCTTAATTATTAATGGATGAATAGTGCAAGTGTGATTACCATTCCATTATTATCTCTGAAAAAAAAAACTAGTCTATATTTATTTTGCTAGCAGAGGGGCTGTTTGTTCTCATTACTGACAATCTCCGTCCCCAATCAATGTAAGTCTGAATATTATGTTATGGAGACTGGCAGGGCGTGACTGGCGGTACCTAATCATGTTTACTGTAACATCAGACGCTATAATTCAAGCGAAGATAGACTAAACTGACACCTAAGTAGTTCAACTTATGTTATCTATATTGACGACTAGTTTGGTTTAGTTTGTGTATATTTTTATAGGTCAACGACACTTTTTCCTCACAGTGTAACCATCCTGTCACGTCTGTAGCCAAAGATACTATAAGGCTATTTATTACAAACCCTTATCATTAACATACTAATATTATGAATGTGAAAGTGAATTTGTTTGTGTATTTGTAACATCTTAACACTTTAACGGCTCAACCAATCGTCATGAAATTTGATATACATTCACGTACTATAGGGGATGAAAAAAGATATATTTGCCTTAGTTAATTAACTTATTCCGGATCCACGGACGAAGTCGTGGGTAGAACGTAGTAAGTAATTTTGCAAATATATTTTATAAAAATGTAGTATTTAGCGTGTATATGCACAATTAATAATATAATGATAACTGAATATACATGAGGGATTATATTTAAATATATCTAAGAATTTTAGAAAAAATATACAAGATATATAATATAAAAAGAAAAGAAAAAAAATTGTAATGTATAAGTGTATTTATAATTATAATGTTTAATTTAATTATATCTTCTTGCCTAATAATGTACAAGTTATCGAATTAAATATTTTATTCCTAGATAATTATATAGATCGGCGAACAACAAAACATTTTTTTCGAAATACTTACTTTAAATACATTCTTTATTATAATTACCCAGTATTTAACGGATAATAGTATAATTTAATATTTATTAGTAATAATAGCGCAACAAATATTTTCAACTACAAAATAGTTATGAAAGTCCACAGCCAGTGTTGTCTCGGCTGAGTGACTGTTAAATATTGTAGCATTATTGATGAGACCTACATGTTGTACAAGTACATGTTCGATGGTCCGTAACATGAAATATGTCAGAACCTACATGAACAACATCCAGGTATGGATTTCAATAAATATAATATATTTTACATATAAAATTTTGGCATTAAAATGATATCAACGAGTCAATTTGGTTTTGTCTAAAGATAGATTCGCATATGAAATTTAAGCCAAATTAATTCTAGAAGACATTACTTTGTAGATGATGTTTTTAAAAGGTTAAGAGCAGGCCTCCCCAGTAGAATAGCTACTGTTTTATAGTAGTTTTTGTTTCATGATACAAGAATATCATTTGTAAGATTGCTACCATTGTTGTATAAAAAGTTATATTTAATAGTTAAACACGTGAACAAACTTACATAGTATTGTTAGTTACTATAACTAGCTGTAAACTATGGATTTACCATATTATATTAGTAGGGTTGGGTAATTAGTATTCATCGTCATCATTTTACCCGTTAATTATCCACTGCTAAACATAGTTCTCTGCCAAAGACTTTCTTAAGCCATTTCGAGCTATTAGCATCCATTGACTTCTTGCAATAGATTTGGAATTATTGCTTCATCTAATGGGGGCTCTCCTACACTACGTTCGCCTATATGGGCTATCAGATTAACTTTCACGTGGTTTTTTCTATAAATTGTGGTAAATTTTTGTTGAAATCGTCAGTGGGTCAACTGACCTGTTTATACCTTTACCTATCATCATCTCTCATTGGTGTCTTACCAGTTTATACGCAGATAGCGCAAGTAGTTATCAATCCATTAATATATATTAAAAAAAAAAGAGAAATGGTTATCTAACACTTAATACTTTTATATTCTGTCATGTATAACAATATAGTATGTACGGACGTCAAAGCGAGTTCCGCTGTCTGGGAAAAAAGGAAAAGCTGCCAATTTCAGAATGCACCCTACGCGGGCCAGTAGAATAGCGAATGAGTTCAATCAGGCGTATTTCCCTTGGCGACGGTAGTCGTGCGGGGGACCGGGATAGTGAATCTGTAGTCTGAGTGTGTTTGTTTTATATTGTACGTACGAGTATATAACCGCATTGACTATGTATTTTTATGTTAGTCACTTGATTGGAAAAAAAAATTGGAAAGTAAATAAAATTTATAATAAATACTACGGAACCGGCTCGGCTTCGCACAAGAAGATAGAGTTTTTGAAAATAATAGTCTATGTTACTCACTAGTAATGTAGCTTTTTACTAGTGAAAGAATTTTAAAATGGGTTGAGTAACTATTGAGTTTATCTATTACA